ATCGGATATAGGGAGTGGGATCCTTAATAAGTCAGTAATTGAACACTTCAATCTCCCTGGGCAATTTATTTCACATCTAACAGACACTATCATTGAAGAAAAAAACTTCAGAAACAGACTTCAAAGAGAAACAACAGAACTGATACAACTTAGAGAATTTTTCACTTGACCAGAGCTCAAAGAGCCAACACCATTAATCTGGGCTTGAATAGGGACTGGGAGTGGCTGGGTCATTAGATAAGCAGCTTTTCCTTTCCTGGAATTGACACCTCCTCATCTATTATTGGGAGTGGACTACATCCACCCTGATTGAATTGGCCCTGTCAACACTGGTTCTCCACTTGCGAAGTAACTCCCTGCTCTCCATGTGTCAGTATATAATGCCTGCATCTGTAACTTTCACTCTATGCATCTGAAGAAGTGAGGTTTTTACCCATGAAAGTTCATGCCCAAATAAATCTGTTAGTCTTTAAGGTGCCACCAGACTCCTTGTTGTTTTTGTAGATACAGACTAACACGGCTACCCCCGATACTTGAGTCCAGGCTGTGACTCCTTTGCAGAAAAGTTCACTATCGCTGCAGACAAACAATTACAAGAGGAAAACTAATGAAAAACCACCGAATCAGCAAATTCAAAATACAGTAAAAGCATGCTTTCACTGTGGATCCCCACAACACCTTGCAAGCTACACAGGCACAGGCAGCGAGTTATATTCCACGTGGTGCCCGGGCACCAGCAATATTCAGAACCCAGGAGCCCAGCTCCACCTGCCACCCCGATGCGCTTCCCCCTGCCTCTTCCCCACAGCTCCAGGCTGCCTCCCTGCAGCAACTGCTGCCACAGGGTCCTAGTGCCCCCCTTCTCAACTGCCAGGGCAGACTGACTCTGAGCCTGCCCTTCCACCTCAGACCTTTCCCTTTTCCAGCAGGACCCTCCACCAGCACAGGCCCCCCCACACCCACAGTCACCGCTCCTGCTCCATGCTGGGCAAGGAGGCAGCCCCCCATCCCTCACCCCCAGTGAGGCTACAGTCAGGGGCAACAGCAGGGGAGGAGGCGCACGCAGCACCCCCCAGCACCTTTTGGAGAAAGCTGTGGGAGACATGAACTTAGTGCAAGTCTTGGTTTATATGAATGACCTGATTGTATTTGGAAGGACCTTGGAGGATCATGAAGAAAGACTTTTTAAAGTTCTTGACAAATTGGAGGCCTATGGACTGAAGCTTTCCATCAATAAGTGCCAGTTTTGCAGAACCTCGGTGAAGTACGTGGGTCACATCGTGTCCCAAGAAGGTGTGAGCACTTATCTGGATAAAATAGAAGTGCTCACTACATGGCCATGCCCAAATAATTACCGAGAGCTTAAGACCTTTCTCAGATTTAGTAGCTACTACAGCAGATTTGTGAAAAACTACGCTACCATTGTAAAACCTCTGAATGATCTTACATGGGATACCCATCCAGCAAGAATAATTCTAAGACCAAGAAAAAGGGGAGGTCCCCAAAGCCTCCCGAGCTGAGAAATTATGTCCCCTTAGAACCATTTGGATCATGGTGGGATGAGAGATGTGAAAGGGCTTTTCAGAAAATAGTTAATTGCCTAACTCATGCTCCAGTCCTAGTCTTTGCTGACCCGAGCAAACTGTTCATCCTGCATACTGATGCCAGTTTGGTGGGACTGGGAGCAGTACTGTACCAGGAGGTGGAAGGCAAATGTAAACCTGTAACCTTTGCCAGCCGAGGACTGGCTGATAGTGAAACTCACTACCCCATCCACAAGCTGGAGTTCTTGGCCTTGAAATGGGCCATCACTGAGAAGTTTCGTGACTACTTGTACGGTGCTAGGTTTCAAGTATGGATAGACAACAATCCTCTGACTTACATGTTGACAAGTGCTAAGCTGGATGCTACAGGGCAGAGATGGGTGGCCGCCTTGGCTAGCTACAAGTTCAGCATTCAGTACCAATTAGGGAGAAGCAATGTAGACGTGGATGTAGTCCGCAGCCATCGGAAATTGCTGTGATTCCTATGGATGGGGTGAGAGCTATTTACAACTGAAGTTATCAAGAGTCAGAGGCCCGCGAGAGTCTTCATGGTTGTGTTGCAGAAACTCTGGGCCTGCCCCCTGAGACTGTGCCATCTGCCTCAGTGAATTATATTGTGCTGGACCAATCTGCATTGCCCATGCTCAATGCTGCTCTCTGGTGTAAGGGGACAGTTGCCCCCTTACTAACATTCAGTGGGGGTGATTTGGTTGGATAGCTCCCAGCACTAAAAGGGGAAGGGTCAATGGGAAATCAGGACCCTGAGACTGACAGTCCCCAGGAACAATGGGGAGAGGCCAATGCTCCAGGTCAGCCTGATTGACAGGGCGGGCAGGCTAATCAGGGAGTCAGGAGGCCAGGGGGATCCCGTACTCCATGTGAGCTGGAATTGCCTGGGTCAGACAGAGTGGGGCCGAGCTAAGGAGAGGGCAGGGGCCCGAGCTAAGCTGCTGGAAGCAGAGCTGCAGCCCCAAAGCCAGAGCACAGCCCAGAGAGAGCAGACCTGCCCTGGGAGGAGAGCTGCAGCAACGAGAGCCAGAGGGGCCAGACAAGCAGCCCAGGAAGCAGGTCAGAGCTGGGAGCAGAGTCACAGAAGCAGCCTGCAGAGCAGACCTGTCCTGGGGGCAGAGCTGCAGCAACCAGAGCCAGAGAAGCAGCCCAGGGAGCTGAAGGCAGAGCAGCAGCAGCAGCCGTGCTGAGGCAGTGTGGAGCTGGAGCTGGGGCTGGAGCAGTCCAGAGCTGGGTGCGGTGAGCAGCTGGGGAGAGCGAGGGGGACCCTGGGCAGTGGGCCCAGCGCAGGGAGACGCCTCAGCCAAGAGGCTCTGCAGGCCAGACTCAGAGGGGGATCGTAACCCTGACAGGGCGGGGGCGACGCTGGGAAGAAGGGTCCTGCCACCTAGAGCCTGAGAGCGTGTGGCCACCGCCAGAGCAAGTGTACAACCCGCAGCGTCTCTGCAGCACAGCCAGGGCCTGAGAAGGAGGCCTGGGACCTACAAGGAACAGACTGTGAACTGCCCTGACGTTCCAGAGACACTTGAGAGACTGACAAATTTGTTAGAGCATAAGTTTTCGTGGGCTACAGCCCACTTCTTCGGATGCATATAGAGTGGAACATATCTTGAGGAGATATATATACACACATACAGAGAGCATGAACAGGTGGGAGTTGTCTTACCAACTCTGAGAGGCCAATTAAGTAAGAGAAAAAAACTTTTGAAGTGATAATCAAAATAGCCCAGTACAGACAGTTTGATAAGAAGTGAGAGAATACTTACAAGGGGAGATAGATTCAATGTTTGTAATGGCTCAGCCATTCCCAGTCCTTATTCAATCCTGAGTTGATTGTATCTAGTTTGCATATTAATTCCAGCTCAGCAGTCTCTCGTTGGAGTCTGTTTTTGAAGTTTTTCTGTTGTAAGATAGCCACCCACAGGTCTGTCATTGAATGGCCAGACAGGTTAAAGTGTTCTCCCACTGGTTTGGCCAAACC